GAGGAATCCTCACATTCGGGTAGGTTGGTTTGCTGGCTCTGCATAGGTTGTCGGTTTTTTCTTCTTGCAGACGAGCCAATCCCACTGCAGCCATGACAGTCGCCGTACGGAGAGCCCTCACCTCCAGACTGATATCTTCTCTAAGGCCTCCCACAAAACATCCTACTAAGGCTTTCTTCGGCTAGCCGTGTACCCTGGTCGCCATTCGCTCGAACTCGAGCTAGTACTATGCAACTGTTCCAGTCTGCTTCAACCGAGTGATAAGCTCATCGTAGTCCACGAACGCCGTTGGCGCAAAACGGATGCACAGAGCTTCAGTGAACTCCACCCAAGTTACCTGGGGATGATTTTGGCGATACCATTGGAGCCATAGAATTGCGTCTCCTTCTAGATGAATGGAAGCGATGGAGACATGCTGGTGTGCAGGAGTTTCGTGGTATTCGAAAAATCTTTTTGCTCTGAAGATCCAAGGAATGAGATCTCCACCAGAATAGTTGGGAAAGTTGATCTTAGTGACTTTTCCGGTGGGGTAATATCCTGTTGGGTGGCTGGTCTCGCCGGATTGTTGCTGAGAGGCGAAGCTTGAGATGACCACTTTGAGTTCCCTGAGTTCGTTCAACACCTGGTGGAATCCAACCTCAAGCTGCTCGACCCTATCATCCATGGTGGAGGAACGTGTCTGTGGCATCGTGAAGCCTGTGATTTGGATAGCCTGGCTCTGATACCAATTGATGAGTTACCGCTCACCTTGGAAGCCCTTTCGAGGGTTGCTAAGAGGCGAAGCTTGAGATGACCACTTTGAGTTCCCTGAGTTCGTTCAACACCTGGTGGAATCCGACCTCAAGCTGCTCGACCCTATCATCCATGGTGGAGGAACGTGTCTGTGGCATCGTGAAGCCTGTGATCTGGATAGCCTGGCTCTGATACCAATTGATGAGTTACCGCTCACCTTGGAAGCCCTTTCGAGGGTTGCTTAACCTCCTGAAACAGAAGATGAAGGAGAGAAGAGAGGGAAGGGTAGGAAGAAAATGACTCAGAGAGAGAGATAAAAGAGATATTCATTCACACTGCTGATTGCATGATCAGGGCCTAATATAGCTGGCCTACATGTGTGCAATCATGGAGATAAAATCTTCTAGTGGCAGTGTAACTAACTCTGGGGGCTCTGTCGCGTGTCACAGTACCCTTTCTGTCTTCTAGTGAAATGCTGATTGGTGGTGGCCTGCTCCACTTCCATTGTTGGGTTCAGAGGGAGTGTTTGGGTTCCAACATGCTACATGGGCTGCACCAAGTCCACGACACCAATGAGGCTCCACTTGACGAACTTACCAAGACACAAGCCTTGAAGGGCCGCACAACTAAAGCTAGCAAGTGTGACAAATCAGTCGACCAACTAGCTATCACGGACATGCGCATCCTACGTTGCGAGGCGACAGTAGGTGAAACCAGAGATTGGGTTGATGAACTCCACCACAACCTGGAGACTGTTGAGAATGCGGTGGTGGAACTAGAATGGCGATTCAATGGTGCCTTCAGAGAGATGCACGCCAACTTACAATGCTCGGTAGCGGGGCCTTCTCAGAGTAGCCTGCAGGGCATGCTGGACATATTTCAAGCCCAATTCGGTGAGATGAGAGATGGGATGACTCTCCTAAAAAGGGCAGTGGCCAACTCTACTAGCACTTCAGCCACCCTAGCTCCCATGCACATCAAGATCCGTGAGCCAACACCCCTACTTGGGTGCTCGGGATGCTAGGGAGCTTGACAATTTCCTGTGGCAACTAGAACAATATTTCTCTGCCGTTGGCATTAGTGACAACCAAACTCAGGTACGTACAACCGCTATGTGTTTGAATGATATTGCAATGTTATGGTTGCGTAGGTGTTGTCAAGACATTGAATGTGGCACCCGCACCATTGACACTTGGGTTGGATTCAATCATGAGATTAAGCGTCATTCCTACCTTGAGAATGTGGAGTACCTGGCGCGAACAAGAATGAAGAAGCTTAGACAGCAAGAATCGCTACATGACTACGTCAAAGAATTTTCAGCCTTGACGCTTGAGATCTCCGACATGTCAGAAAAGGACCTCCTGTTCAATTTCATGGATGGTCTCAAGCCATGGGCTGAGCTTGAACTTCAATGGCGCGGTGTGAAGGACCTCGCCACAGCCATGGCCGTAGCTGAGCAGCTTGTTGACCTAAGGACACCTGATGAAGAAGACCAAAAGCCATTAGCCCATGTACCTTGAGTTTGAGTGGGGGAGATCAACAATTGACCTCCACGTAGAAGAAACCAGTGCACACTGACATGCCTAACAATTATCAAGGAAAGGAGCCACAAGGAGCACAACAGAGCTATTAGGGCCACCGGTACACTAGGAGACCTACGATTCCTCCCTCACCTTGTTACATTTGTAATGAAAAGCATTGGACTAGTGATTGTCCTATGCGGAAGAAAATCAATGCCCTCATCGCCAAACTTAGTGATGAGGAGAAGCCCACACCGACACTAGGAGGTGGTGCCCTCCAACTTATAAATGCCATGGTAAAGAAAGAGGCCACATCCAAACGGCCCACCAAAGCCCACATGAGGCTGAAATATGTAGACATCACCCTCGGCGGGAGGCCGGCCCAAGCATTGGTGGACACTAGGGCCACCCACAACTTCATCTCACTTACGGAGGCAAAGCGACTCGACTTGATCACTACCAAACAAACAGGGTGGATCAAGGCCGTCAACTCGGGGGCCAAGGCAGTAGCAGGCATGGCTCGTGAAGTAGACCTACAAGTGGGACCATGGAAAGGCAAAGTTAATTTATCTGTGGTTCCCTTGGATGATTTTCAAGTTGTCCTTGGAGTAGAGTTCTTGACACAGGCAGAAGCAGCCCTCATGCCACACCTTGACCATTTACTCATCTTGGACGAGCATTCTCCATGCATGATCCTGTGACATCAGCTCTCCAGGTACACGGGAAGCAACTTTCAGCCCTACAACTGTACCAAGAGACAAGCAACCATGAAGCCAGTGGCATGCCAACAATGAAGACCCCCACTCCAACATCTCACATCAGCACTGGAACGGGTTGGGCAGTCATCACTAAGAAGAAGTTTCCCCCAAAGCAGCACCAGCACCTGCGCCAATAGCTGCACTAGTGCTAGCATCAACATCAACAGAAGCCATCTTCGCAGCAGAAGCCGCATACGCCCGCAATTGATGGGCCCAAGAGAAGACCCAAGGCCAACTTCAACTGTAACCATACCTACTACCTTAATCATCGGGGAGAGCGAGTGCCAACCAAACTATATAGGGACCACATTCTCACCCTTCCACAAGCCGAACCACGTAGTAGACCAGTGAGCAACTATCCTTGGGCAAAAATGCACGGGAACCAACACTCGAAAAATCCAAACTATCATTTTGACCCAGCCTTGGCCACAAACTTTCCTTCCACCAAAGCAGAACATCCAAAATTTTACCTTGAAGCGTTCAAGCAAGGACTTAACTTAGGGACTAGCTGTAGGTTTTCCCACCATCAAGAGCACCCAAAAACCTTCCACCCAACCTCTTGTTCGTGCCTTGGAAGGAACCATGTTCGTGGAGCAATTGAAGAACCTTCCTTCACCAACAAGAAGTTCGGGCCACAAGCCGAAGTTGGTCTTCGAGGACAAAGACCAAATTGAGTGGGGAGCTTGCTTGAGATAGCCTCGACCACCAACACCAACACCAACACCATGACCTCTAAAATTCTCATCTCTACCACCATTGCGACCTCCTCTCACACCACGGTTAACCCCTCTGGGATAGCTGCTTCTACCACGTGAGCCCCCTCTACCACCTCTGGTTGCTGCTAGGGCTGAGATCTCTAATACTGGAGCACTATCTGTATGTAGGCTCATAACCCTTCTGATTCTGGAAAAAAATTTCTGATAGTGTGGGTATATCACTGCTACCTAAAATCTGGGCATGGACCAGTTCAAATTCAGACCTTAATCCAGAAAGGAAACGTGCCACTTCCAACTGATCTCTCTGTTGTTGCTGTACTCTGAAATCAATCGAAAAGGGCTGATACGAATCCAACTCATTGCGCAGACTCTTCAAGCAAGCATAGTACTCTTCTACACTCCTATCACCTTTCTGTAGTTGAAAATATTCCTTGAGGACTTTTTAGTCATAAGCAAGTACAACTATAAATGCCTCATGAACAAAAGTCTCATTTTATTATCAAAGTCAATTTACACAATGTGTTTTCAGTTAGAATCTGTAAAGGAAAAGGAAAGAAGCAGAAGATGAGAGAAGTGGGAAAGGGGAGCTTGCCTGATGTTTCCATAAGATTTGTATGCTTCTGAAGATTGATTTTCTGATATGTGCTATGTGTTTCATCAAGACCAAAGAATATCTCATTGTGGAGTTGACTTTTTTTTTTACCTTTCCCCAAAGTTGGTCATGTGGTACTTTTAAATGCCTTATTGATATAAGACGTACGACTGGGCTTTAAGAATTGTACAAATGGTAAAACCATAAGTCTTATGGAAGGTTTAAAATGTTGATGTCAGTGGAAATGTCAGCCATCCAAATATAAGAAACATGTCAAAAGTGTTGGAAATTTAGTATGGAATTATTGTAAAAATTATAGACATGGTGGAAACTCGATACCATGTTTTTACTTAGAATCTGTAAAAGAAAAGGAAAGAAGGAGAAGAGACGGGAAGAGGGAGAGAGGAGAATGTTTGGAGAGCAAAAAAAACTTGGGCCAGCAGCACCCCCTTTTTTATTTGTAGGTATGTGATAGCATAACAATAAAAAGAAGAGAATTACATCAATCCCCTTGCGGCTCTGTCTAACAATAAAGAATAGAAAAAATAATGCACTAATAGCAGTATGTTTAGCTTTGAATGAAGAAACCATTTACCATTATGCAAAATTATAGGTTTTGAAAACAATACAAATGATCCATTTTATATTTGACTTATGTGTAGTGATGCATGCTTTTTGACAGGGATGCTTCAAAATCCACAATACCGTCAGCAGTTGGAAGATATGCTGTATGTTAACTTTTTGGTTGGCATCTTTTGTTTCGTGGTTTTTTAGTAATATAACTATTCTCTTGGAATTGCTGGTTTTTCCTGACCATTAATGCTAAACAAAGTGGGCATTTTATATTTGACTTATGCTTGCTAATCTTTTATTTATTTGCTCTTCTGAACTAGATTAGACAGAAAGCGAGGTTTTGCTTTCAGCTGGATGGGTGTCAATGATTAGAGTATTTAGAGGAGAGTTGTATGCTCAAGAACTGTGATTGAATTCAGAGGAAGGTCTAGGGATAGAGTGATTTATTATGACTTGCATTTCTTTGGTGTGTGATTTTCCATTGATTGTCTGTCTTAATGGCATAAGGTGGTAGCACAAATGAACATGCTGTAATCCTCATCTTTTCGTCTAAAGCAGATCTTTCATCTTCTTGTGTTCTCAAGACTAAGCATTAATCTTTTGAGTGAATCTCTGCCACCTTGAAAGAAACAGTAGGAAGCAGTTGGGTTTAAAGAAATTAGAAGAAATATCAATTAGGCTCAGTTGTTGAAGTAGTACTAATTGAACCCTTAGGGGAAATGCCACTTCTCTAGGGAAGTCTAAGTGCTGATCAGTTTCACTATTTCCTAAAGCATATATCATGTGCTTTTTGATTCTCCTGGTAGGGGTGTTGTTTATTGATATGGAAGTCTTTTCTTGCCTGGGGAGCTCTAAAGCTCAGTTTTGATGGTTCTTTTCAGAAACTTGGTCCATTGTAGTATGGTGTGAGGGCACAGGGTTAATTATGACATTTATTATATCATTCATAATCAGGGTTAAATTTATCTATTATGTACTTTATTAACAAATTTATAACCTAAAGAAGTAGGGCTTGTCCCCAAGATGGACTATTCCCTTCAAGGTGTTCTCTTCTTCTTCTTAGACCTAGTAGAGGATGAGATTAGAGTTACTTTCATGAAGGTTTCAAGGCTCATTGAAGAGATTTAACATTTTTTCTACATTTTATGGAGGAAAATTCGAAAACAAAAGCTATGTGGTTTCTGATAGAAGCAGTCTAATGGTGGCTGATTTGTGGATCAGTTTGGTAAGGTTTGATCTGTAGTAAAATTATTAATAGGTGGGGAGTTGTCTCAAAATTTTTTGATAACTAGAAATTATATTGTAGACTTGTAGTTACATTTCAGAGTTTTTAGTCTTGCCTGTGGACTTGTTTTTTCACTTGTAGGTCTTGGGGACAACACCAATATGGCAATTATTAACTATTAAAGTTGGATGGATCAGATAACTTTGAGTCGGCTTGATTGGACTTTTCATTGGTGGTAGAGGTGAATTGAGTACTTAATTAAGATGGAAAAGGGACTTAGTTTGGATGATCCTAACCATTCTATGTGGGAGTAGGAAAAACTAGTAATTTAAAAGGTGCACCTAGGCACACAGGTGAGGTGCACTTTGAGGTCTGCCCCTCGCTTAGTCTTTGGTGCAGCCCATGTGCCTAAGCATGTGCCTATTGCACCTAGGTGTGTGCTTGGTTGTGTTTTTTTCTGCGGCTTAGGTGTGTGCCTTTGTTAATTGATTCTTCTTAATGCAATACATTTTCTTAAAGATAAAGAAACTATAATTCAAATTATAATAGCAACTTCTTATATTCAAAATATGAATTTAAGGCCCTAGCATAGACTTGTTTGGGATAACCTCAACGGGCTTCGTACAAAGGCACTCGTAGAATTAGGAATACATGATGTGATTGGAAAACGTTTAGTTTTTGGATCTCCACTTTGATTATGCTTTATATGTTATGTTTATGCATTTTAATTTGAGCTAATAGATTCTTTAAATCATTTAGATTAAAATTAAAGTTGACATTTTTAATGTTGTTCATTCATTCATCTTAATAAAATATCATCTTAAAAGGCAAATAAAATTATAAAATCATTATTTTTGTGTGAGAATTAAGAACTTACGACCCTAACATGAACTTGTTTGGGCTTGCCCGGAGGGGTGTGGCACAAAGGTGGCTCGTAGAATCAGGAATGTAATTTGTTTGACATCACATTAGCTACTTGAAGTATGCAATTGAGGAAAAAAGAGATTGTGGGTTTTACATGCTTGAAGATGTTTTATATGTTTGATTTTAATTTTAAATTCTCATTTAAATATGCTTTACACGTTATGTTTATGTATTTTAATTTTAGATAATAGGTTTTTTAAAACATTTATTTTAAAATTTAAGTTTATATTTTTTTATTAATATTAAGTTTAATATTTTTTGATTTTTTGGCAAATTTTTTTGAATTTTCTGACATTTTTTTTTATTATTAGCATTTTTTCTTTTGTATTTTTGAGCCTTGCTTCAAAAAGGTGCACGCCTCACCTTGCACTTTGCACCTTGGGTGCAAATTGGCCCCTGCGCCTTTTTTGTGCCTTGCGCTTTTAAAACACTTGGTAAGATTGCCAACAAGTTGTCGATATAGGGATGAATCAGCTAAAAGCTTCCCATCATCCTTAGTAACTTCAGATTCAGCTCCATAGGAGTAAAGACATGCTTGTTGTTTGTAAGATAAACCAATTTACTTAAATCCTTATATTTATGTTGAATCACAAGATGCCACCAGTAGGAGTTTGAATTTTCATTCCCAGGAAATATGTAATGGGACCAAGGTCCATATGAAAGGGGTGCTAAAGTAACTGTTGAAGTTATCTGGTTTGAATATCATCACTATTAATTGGATTATTGTCAACACAGACAAGGAGAAGACTGATGCCTTGGGCAGGATGATGAAAAGGAGAGATAAATCATCAGCACTTTAATGATAGGCAGCCTCCAGACTAACAATATGGAAGTGCGCACACCAAGCGAGAGAAGCTTGTGTAAGCCCATATAGGAGCTTTTGTGGCAACAAACTAGAGAAGATTATGAATGATAACTAGGTGGAGGCTTCATCTAGACAGTTTCTTTCAACTTACCATGAAGAAATGCTTTTCTGACATCCATCTGAAAGATTTGCCATTGTCAAAGATCAGGCAAATATGAGCTGAATAGTTGTCATCTTAACAACAAGAACATATGTTTCTTCATAATCGTAGCCATACTCTTGTATGTAACCCTGAGTGACTAATCTTTACTTGGATTACTCATTACTGCCATTAGATTTTAGTTTATTGGAGAAGATCCATTTACTGCCAACAAGAATAACACCAAGAGGAAGTGGCACCAAATCTTAGGTGTCATTGTCAAGCAAGGCATGCATCTTAGTGTGTATAGTAGTTGTCTGTTTATAAGTGTGGGAAATGTCTGTGGCATCAAGGACAATAGAAAAGGACTATGAGGATTGATTTAACCACATGTTTAAAGTAAAAGATTTTCGCAAGGAACAAAACATTTCTAGAGACACGAAAGTAACAAAGAGAGGGATCATAATTCATAACATAAAAACATTTATGATAGGAACTGTAACCCGCAAAAGCAATTTTAGAAAATTGAGTAGAAAGTTTAGCATATGAAGCTATCAATCTTTGAGGTGACGTTTGTTTGTTTTTTTTAATGGTTAAGAAAAAAAACATCAGGTATAATCCTTCTTCTAGTATTCTTGCCAAATTCTGGTAACATGTCTGGTTGGGAAACTCATCCCTAAAAGAACAATTCCCCTTCTTTTATGCCCTTTCTAATTGGAAGGATGAGCTCATTTCCTCTTTTTGTTTCCTTCCAATTTAAATTCTGGATTTGACTGGGATTTGGGGTTCAGAAGAGGCCTTCATGGTTGAATTTGGGGTTCAGAAGAGGCCTTTTTTTATGCTCTTAACCTTGCTCCATTGGTCTTGAAGAGGTTTTCTTGGATCCTTGAAAAGAGATGGTTGAATTTGGACTCTTCCCTCTTTTGTTTCCTTCTCTTGTTCCTATTTCTTCTTGTCCTTAATACAGTCAGGTGATAGTCTTGAATTGCGTTTTTCGATTAAGGTGGTTTGGAGTAAGCCCATACTTTCTAGGATAGGAGGTTTTTGTTGGGAAGTGTCTCTGGCAAGAATTAACACCTGTGATCTACTCCAAACAAAAAGACCTAGTTGGTGCTTATTCCCTCATTGGTGTTCTCTTTGTAAGGTTAATGGTGAGGCCTGCTATCACTTATTATTCTCCTGCCCTTTGTTCCTTCAATTTGGGAATGGTTTCTTTATTTGTTTGGATGCGAGTGGAACCCCCTGCCAAGTGTAGAAAGCTTGTTTGCCTCTACCTTGGCTAGTTGGCTGAAGAAGGGGTGGTGTGTTGGACAATATGGGGAGAAAGGAGTCAAAGGATGTTTTCAGAAAATGTGAGGAGTAAGGGTGCCCTAATTGTAGCCATTGGGTGAAATCATAAAAACTCTTTGAGAATATTCCTGCTGTTGACCTGATGAGAAACATGTGGATGCAGTGGAAGTGGCTGATTTAGCGCCTTTCAAGATTGTCAATAGGCCATCTTGGTCCCCATCAGTTAGTGGATTGATAAAGCAGAACTTTGGTGGATGCAGAAGGAAATTCAGAACATTCAGGCATTGGAAAGTTTTTAGAAATGATTAAGGAAGAATTGTTGCTCTTTTTTCAGGCCCTATTTGTGTGGGTGACTCTGAGAGCTGAAATTTTGGTTGTCATGGAAGGGGTTTAAAAAGCCAAGGAAATGCACATCCACAAATTGATAATTGGGGGGGGGGGCGGATTCAAAAGCTAGTTGCAAACAGGGGAGAATGCTAACTGTTGGGACTATATTAATGACAAAAGAAGGTTTAAGTAGTTGTCACAAGGCATGGAAGTTAATCTGGGCTCTCCAAGAATGATGCTGATTGGCCAAGAGATTCAACTTTCCTAGCCCCAGACCTGTCATTTGCTTGTAGGGAATTAGATTCGCAACTTTCTTTTGTTTAAGTTTTGGAAATGAAGTGTCTCAATTAGCAGCAAAGTTTGGGCCTTTTTTGCAAGGGGGAATAGTGTTTAAAATCCCCTGAATTGGATATTGAGTCAGTTCAACAAGGATATGGCAATTAGTGTAGTTGTGGATGGTGATTGTTCTAATAGTGGGTTTGTTTAGTAGTTGGTGGTTTGGTGTTGGCATTGTCTTTGTTTTATGTTTGGTTGTGTGTTTGTGTTGCTTGAATTGGTTTGCTGCTTTTTTGTGGCTCCATGGGTTCTACACAATTCAACGGGGTAGACCATCCCCCAACCCATAAGCCCCCCCCCGGTTTAGGCAGGATTTGATCCTCTCTCCACTACAACCATGCAGTGACCTTGCCAACTAGCCAGTTGGCTTCTTGCTGTTTTCCTCTGCTCTCTTAATGATTTGTCTTTATTACCAAAAGAAAAAAAGGAGGAAGATGCACAAAACATACACAACTAAAACATGTAAGATTGAATTGTTAGGGGGATGATGATATAAATGTAGGAAAGGAGAAGAATTGAAAAAGTTTGGAGTGGGAAGTCAATTAACAAGGCACACTGACGTGGCAACTGCTTTCAACCCAAAAGGAAGGAAGGACACAGGAATCTTGGAGAACTTCATTTTTCTTGTGCCTTGGAACTGACTATCAATGTATTCTCTCCCTGAATCAGAACAAAGAACCTTAATGTTTGTAGAAGAACTTCATTTTTCTTATGCAAAAAATATATCCATGTATGTTTGGTATAATTATCATGAGCAGTACAAAATACTTGAAACCTATATGAGATGAAATAGGAATGAGCCCCCCATACATCACTATGAGCAAAATTATAAGGTGGCAGATGAAACAGTAGACCTAACCGAGGATGGCAAAATGATACTTTTACTCAATGGCGATACATGATGTATCAATATTAGACATTGGTGGTAATTTACCCTTCAAACAATTAGAATTAGTAATGAGACGAAGTCTGTCATGTTGATGACCATGATAATTATGCCAGAGATTCCAGAAAGTATCAGCAGCAAGAGAACATGTAGAACCCAAAAGACAATTCTGTGAGATTTTATGATCAGCTCTGAAATCTCGGGCAGTTAGGCACCCAATCTTACTGCCCCTCCCAATCACTGTCCTAGTGTGCTTGTCCTGTTTTTAAGCAACTATTACGAGAGAAGTTGGTAGTGTATCCATTATCAACTGACCATAAGAAACTAAATTGGTGGCTAACTTGGGAACAAGAAAAACATTGTTTAGATAAAAGGAATCACAAGGTGCAACTGAGGGAGTTAAATTGTCACTACCAGAGTAAGGAATATAGGATGAGCTAGGAGTGAAGCGCAGATCATATCATTGGTTTCACTAGAGTCAATAATCCAAATTGGTGACACAGAAGGATTAAATTGACAATGCTTAGAGATGAACTTGTAGACAGAGTTGGTGCCTTTCATGAGTTTTCCATGTTTGTTCCCTTTAGGCTTGGCTTGATAAACCCTGTGAGATCTTTTTCCACCGTGGGTGGCCTAATCTTGCATTCAGCAAGTATATGTCCAGGAAGTTTGCAATAGGTGCAGAAGATTCTTTTCTTACTGTAAGAACTAATGTGGCCACATTTCTTTGCATTCATGACATTGTTCCTCATGGTATGGACCACAAAGGCTATGTCTGTTTCTTTCCTTCTAGAGATGCTTGAGTCGTCATATAGAGTTTCCCTAAGACAGATTATATCTGCTACTGCATCTTGTTAAGAATGCCTGTTCACTAATTCATACTCTGGGCGAAGCTTCATAGTAGTCAGTGATCTTCTTGTCTCCCTGAGTATAGTTAAATATAACATATTCAAGTTGGAATTCCCTGCTAAATTGGTCTGTTGATATACCTTTTCTACATAGTTCTACATGGCCCTTGCAGTCTAGATTCTGGAAGCCCCTATGCTGATGTGCCATGCAGGTATACACAAACCCTAACAGCCAGGAGTTGATTTTTGCATTATCAACATCCCATTTTTCTAGTTCCTAGGCAGATTGGTCATCTGGTATGATCAAACTGAGAACAAATGAGATTTATCAGAGGCCATAACTTATCTAAAGAAGAGTCTATGCACTTGGAACCAGACATTGGGTTGAAGCAAGATACAAAACAAGAGTGAAGAAGCGGATGTACAACAGGACACTTTCCAATGGTGAAGGTTCAAGGTTTAGTTGAAATAGAGTCACCCAGAAGAAGAAAGTGTCCAGCCTAGGGTTCTGAGCAACTCAAGCTGCATATATGAAAGTGAGCCTTGCCTACAGAATTCAGATATCCTGCCCACGCCTACCCACAATACACCACCCCCCATGAATTGGGAACATCTCCCCCTGCATAATACTATGCAGAAGATGAGATGTTCTCCATGTGTGGCTGCGATAAATGTGGGCAGGAGATCTGGGCTCTTGCTTACATACCAATTAAAGAGCAAACAACACTAGGCAGATTCAAGTATCAAATGTTTCACCCCTTTAAACAACTGGTAATCAAAGTATCTGATAACCAAATACCTTTCATTGAATGGCAAAGAAACTTATAAGCAAATAGCATGGACCTTAAATGTTGTTTAGTTTCACCATTATTTTGCTGTTCATTGCTAGCAATTAGTAAGATGTTTATACTTTTTTCTCATTTTTATGAATCTTTCTGAAAGTCTATTTTGAAGTTCCTGCTATCTGTTATCTATATATCTATCTAACTATCTATATATATTTGTTTATTTATTTATTTATTTATTTTATGTTAAGTCAACAACTCAAAGATGTTGAATGCCAATTTATTTAAGAAATCAATTCCTGTTTTCTCTTTCAATGTTTCATTCCAGAAACAATATGGGGGGAAGCAATGAATGGGACAATAAAATGATGGATTCGTTGAAAAATTTTGATCTTAGCAGTCCAGAAGTCAAACAGCAGTTTGGTAAGTTTAAGAATTAAGATAAACCAAAATTGTTGCTGTGTTATTTAAGTATCTATTGGTATGCTTTTCTTTTTAACAGTGTGATAAGTAATCCTTGTTGTCAAGGCGGCTGGGTGATTCTAGGTGATACTGGGGCACATACTTGCCTAAGCAATAAGAATCCTATGACATAAAGAACTGGCTAGTTATATTATTCAGCATGCATATAATGGTTATTTGACAGAGCAATTTCATATTAATTAGCATCTAAAGAAGGCTATAGCTTTATATGATAAGAATTCTAGATGGAAAGTAAAAGTGGAAAAGAACAAGTATTTTGCTGCTGTTTAACATGAGAGAGCAAGAATAGAAAAAACAATGATCAAAAAAGAAAAAAAAAAGAAATGCTGTATATAAATAAAAGGATACAACTAGAAAGGTGCCTAGTTGATCTTTTAAAGAAATGCTGTATATAAATAAAAGGATCTCTTTTTCCTTTTCTCACAACTATTTGATCTTTTAAATTTCAATAGTAAAACTTTAAAACAAAGAAAATGCTGTATATAATATAATGTGTTAACAGAGATATAGTAATGATGTAGCAATATGGATGATCTTATCATAAGGCTCCCACCTTGTAATTTTTTCCTATGTGGGCCCCTAGCCACAATGGGCATCATTTTGCTACAAGTAAAGATGCCTAGTTGCCTAGGCAACATTCATGGTTTGCAATATTAGAGATATTTGACGAAATTTCTCTAAATTTTTCTCATTGTGCTAGGGTGCAATATGAAATTATCTAGGAATCTATTTTTTCTGTAATATTTCCGATATATTGTTGATATGTAGACGATATTTCTGATTTCTCTGTAGACTCTACATTTAAGGTTTAAAATTTTAAAATATCATTAGATACTTTCTGATATTTCATTTACTGATAATGGTTTTTTAAAAATCTTTTCTAAAACAACAAATGAGAATTTGGTGATTGAATAGTTGTTTATTATTTTGATACGATTCACCTACCAAGTCATTATAATTCAAAAATTAGAAGGATAAAACTAGAAATGTGGATACTCAATCTAATCAAAATATTTTATGACAAAAGACTAAAAGCGAGATAGAAAAGAAGATACCTATTGATGTCTCTTAATCTTCTCCTTTTGATTCACACAGTTGTTTGCTAATTTTTTTCCTTAAATGTGCAATTAATTGTACTTCTTCTAATGTTTTTTTTTTTGATGAATGAATGGTATTTTATTAAATAGAAATAGAAATAGTACAAGCATGAAGCTCCCTAAGAGGAGGCACAAGGTGTTAACCTCCCCTTAAAGGTGGTTCCAAACCTGACTCTTTTCAGATTGCAGTTACAAATTAGCCAAAAAGAGAGAATCCCTTGAAGCCCTTTGTTTAGCTAAAGAATTTGTCAAATCATTTGCCGATCTACTAATCCACTGAAAGCTAACTGACATGGTTCTCGTAAGCCATTTGACTTTTTCGATGATGTCCCTATTATCCCCAAACAACAATTTCTGGGTCCGACATCCATCTCATTATCACCTTAGAGTCTCCTTCAACTATCAAATTAGTCACTCCAAGTTGGTTGGAAATCTATAGTCCTTGTACCACAGCTAATATCTCAGCCCTTATAGAGTCTCCATAACCCATTGGACCTGAGAATAAGGACAGAATATTGCCATCCTTATTCCTCAAGATCCCTCCTATTACCTGAAGGTCCTGGATTGCCTTGACTGCTCCCATCAAAGTTCAACTTTACAACTCCTTCCGGAGGGGGTAACCTACTTGCTTGTGTTCTATTTTTCTTGGATGATGTGGAGGCCACTTCTGCCCAACTCCTTCGAAGGTCATCACTAGAGTAACTCGCAAAGAGATTAGTAGTTTTTAGCCAAAGGATTGCCCTTGTCAGTATACAATCCTTTATTTCAGTAATGCTTCTCTCCTGGAAAATTCTAGCGTTTCTTTCCTCCCAAATGGTCCATAAGAGGGCTGCCCTAATACATTTCCACATTCCTTTCCCTCCCTTTGTTGGCCAACCAAAAAAAGACGGATCAAAAAGCAGATTTACTTTAGGAGGCAGGTTCCACTTGTACCCAAACAATGTAAAAACCCAATTCCAAATATTTACTGTAAAAGAGCAAGAAATCAGTAGGTGATAACAGTCCTCATACTGCACTTTACATAAAATGCACCAATTGGGGGACAAGCATGAAAAATGTATCTTTTTTTGAACATTGTCCACAGTATTAATTTTACCATAATACACTTCCCAACAAAAAGCAACAATTTTAGGTGGAATTGGCCTTGACCAGGCTTCTTTAACTGGGAACAACAAAGGGGAAGGAGTAGAGCATAGGAACTTAAAGAAGGAAGAACAAGAGAAGGAGCCACTCGAGGTCAAAGACCAAATTCTTCTATCTGGTTAAGGAGGGTCCAAACAAATAGAATCAAGTAAAATTAAGAGCTTAGAGGCAGAAACCGATTCCTCATCCCTCCACCCTCTACGGAACCCAAAATCCCAATTAAGAGATGTTAGAGTTAGCCGAATAAGGGTAGATTAGTCAACTCACCTTGGTTAAGTTATGAGCTTATGTGGCAGTCTTATTAGAGGTTCTCTGTCCCATACTTAAGTAGGGGCAGTTTAGTCCTTGTACATTTAATTAGAAGCCTAATCACTGATAGGGTTTAGCTATAAGGTTCGACAGTTCTTTCATCTTCTTCTTCTTCTTCTCCTTCTCTTTCTTGTTCTCCTTACTGGTTCGGACTACTGTAGCTACAGTAGAAACAAGAGACAATGGGAGAATGGGGGGAGAAAGAAACCTTGGAACAAGCTCCTTTATAGAGGGAAATAGAAAAAAGGGAGGGATAGAGGTCTTTTAATGGTTGGTTGCCCACCCAAACATCTTCCCAAAAAAGCATAGAATTACCATTGCAGACATCATAACCTACGAACTTGAGAAATTTTGGGAGGATGCCAAAAATCGCCTTCCAAGGTGTAGTGAATGTGGCCCGTTGAGATACCCCGACATCCCAACCAGATTTAGAACAGCCATGGATACTAGCCACCACCTCGTGCCACAATCTCTCTTTCTAGAGGCCACCACCATAACCACTTGCCCAAAAGAGCTTCATTCTTATTTACTAGGTTCCCTAACCCTAAGCCCCCTTGTTCCTTGCTTCGACTCACCACCTCCCATCTAATCAACTAATCCTTTTTCTTTGCACCTGGCTCCCACAAAAAATCCCTCATCAACTTTTCTATCTTCTTGGCTTCCCTAACAGGTATTCTAAAAACAGACAAAAAGTAGATGGGTAAGTTTGCGAGTGAGGCCCTAATCAAAGTTATTCTACCCCCTAGAGAGATATAGCTCTTTTTCTAGGTCACTAGCCTTTTTTCAAACTTTTCTACCACTGGGATCCAAAACCTACTTTCCTTTGGATTTGCACCCAGGGGAAGTCCTATATAGGTCAAGGGCCAAGCAGAAATAGGGCATTCTAAGCAGGCAGCAATAGACTCCAACTCCCTTCCCTCCACATTTATCCCCACCACACAACTCTTCTGAAGATTTATTTTCAGGTTTGAGACATTCTCAAAGAGGGTTATTAGATTTCTTAGATTCCTTGCCCTCAACAAATCACATCCCTCACAAAAGATTATGATATCATTTGCAAACTGAAGGTGGGTAACCGAACTTGATTTCTTCCTAATCTCCATCCTCTTATCAATCCAACCCTGTCTGCTTTTGACAAAAGTCTACTAAAAACATCAACAACCAATGTGAAAAGGAAAGGGGACAATGGATCACCTTGTCTTAAGCCTTTGCTACTCCATTTACTAAAATTGAGTAATGGCAAGACGTCAGACAACCACCTATCCACTTGCACCATCTATCCCCAAAACCACACTTTTTGAGCACCTCTAGCAGAAAACTTCAATCCACTAAATCATAGGCCTTTTCAAGACCCAATTTGCAAACAAAACCTTGCCTACCCAATCTTCTCATCTCTTCCACACTTTCATTTGCTATTAAAATTTGGTTAAATATTTGTCTACCATGAACAAAAGCACCTTGAGCTTGACTTCTGATGGGGGGAAGAGCCTTTTTGATCCTCAAAGATAAGACCTTTGCCAGTATCTTATAGATGCTTGTTACCAAGCTGATTGGCCTAAAGTCTTTGGGATGTTTGGCCTCTTTCTTCTTAGGGACCATGGCTAGGAAAGTGGCATTTACTCCATGGCTAATGATAAACTGTTCCTCAAATTCTTTGAAAACTTCTAACAAGTCTCCTTTAATTATGTTCTAACAGTCTTGAAAGAAAGCCATAGTAAAGCCATTAGGCCTTGGTGCCTTAGATCTATCCATTGAAAAAATTGCCCGTCGGGTCTCCTCCTCAAAACCCCTTTCCAACCATAATTTCATCTCTTCAGACAGTGTAGGCCAATCCAACCTAGCCAACTCCACTCGACTAGATAGAGGTTTCCTTAATATAGATTAGAAGTGCATTACAAAACAATTGGTTATTTCCTCTTGAGATTCCAACTCCACACCATCCACTTAAAGTTTAGTCACCAAGTTTTTCCTCCCATTGGCCATCTCATGAAAAAATTTGGTATTCTTGTCACCTTCCTTTATCCATTCATGCTTAGATTTTTGCCTCCAGGATATCTCTTCTCGCAAAAGAACCTCCTCTAATTCCTTTTTCAACCTCCACCTTAATTCTCTTTCCTGAGTATTCATGGTTTGTTGAGATTCCTAATCATCCAAGTCCTCTATTTGGGTCATCAGATAGGATTTCTGTTCCTCTCTTCTCCCAAAAAGGTCCCAAAAAGGTCTCTGATCATCCATTCTCTTATGTTCCCCCTTAGGCTTTTTAACTTCTTATTAAACCTTAACCCTTTTCACTTCACCCCCCTCATTATCTTGATTCCACCATTCCCCAATCTTTTTTACAAAATCTGGGTGTGTCAGCCAAATATTTTCAAATCTAAAGGGTTTGGGTCC